TGGCCTTGGAAGGAAGACTGAGCTGATGGAATAAGAAATATTTATGCAAACGGAGCAACCTTTTCCATTTTGGTTCTTCGTCAGAACTTCGGGGTGATGGCTGTTAGATGGGAGACAACTACTGAGATAAAGTATTCACCCCATTCTCTACGGCCCCTAACTCTCTCCAGCTAGTTCAGAGGAAGGAAGAACAGCTTCTCCCAACTCTTCTTTATCTCACAGTTTTCCACAAAGCCACTGTATCCTTATCACTCAACGGAGAAACACAGGAAGTCAGTTTTCTTTCTTTCGTTTTTTTTAAATATATTTTATTGATTTTTCACAGAGAGGAGAGAGGGATAGAGAGTTAGAAACATCGATGAGAGAGAATCATTGATCAGCTGCCTCTTGCACACCCCCTACTGGGAATGTGCCCGCAACCAAGGTACATGCCCTTGCCTGGAATCGAACCCGGGACCCCTCAGTCCACAGGCCGACGCTCTATCCACTGAGTCAAACCGGTCCCGGCAGGAAGTCAGTTTTCAAATGCTGAGTCTGGCCACAAACATTCTATTTCTTTTCCCATTGACATTTTTTTTACAGAGTGGAAGGGAGAGAGAGGGAGAGAGAGACATCAATGTGAGAGAGACACGATCAGTTGCCTTCTGCATGCACCCCAGCTAGGGTCAGGGATGGAACCTGCAACCCAGGTGCATGCCCTTGACTGGGAATTGAACCTGCAACCCTCGGGTGCATGCTCTGATGCTCCAACCTCTTAGCCACACGGGCCAGGGCTGGCTACAAACCTTCTAACTCGGGAGCTAAAATCTCTTTCTTCCCCCCATGCCAACTGAACTTCATGGGGACTAAAAACACAGGTATCCTTAGTCAGGAGAAGACTCCATTCAAAACCGTGAACTCAGCTACATCTCGCCTGACTTGAGCTCAGCGCAGTTTTCCCACTGCCCACCACTCACAGGTTACGCTGCAGCCCACGCCCTTGCAGTATCCCCACAGGTCTACTCTTCGAAGGTGAAGCCGCCATGATTCTAGTCCAGTTCCGCTGGCTTTTCAGGCAGGTGTCTGATAGTCCATACATTCAGACACAGTCATCCACCTGGGAGGAGGGGCCAGAAGCCCTGGGTGAAGGAGGGAACATATAACCAACAAGTATTGGGGGGGAGGAGGGGAAGAAAGAGAAATGAGGCGGTAAGATGGTTGCCGCCACCCCATTGGCCGAGAGGCTCGTTGAGCTAAGAGCTTTGCATCCATTGTCTACATAAATGAAGTTACAGAGCAATCCTATGGAAAAGATGGCGTTTGTTCACTCCACATGGTAAAAACTTGGGCCTAGGGAAGGTGAGTGATTTATGCATGGTCACACAGCTGCAGGGAGTGTTTGCTTCTGGACCCCGCTGGATTCATTAGGCTGTGACCTGGCAGGAGTAGCCAGGGCCTGGGCCTAACAGAGGTCAGGGAAGGAAACAGGAGACAGTCCACCAACATGAAGCTTCATGAAGGCAGGGACCCACCTCACCACATGCACAGAAACTAGGGAATTGCCTGACATACAGGAACTCAGGAAGGGGTGGGAGGGAGTGAGGAGGGCTTTGTAATTACAGTTGTTGAACATGAACTGGGCCAAGTCAAGAGCAGGAGCTCTTACCCACTTGTGTCTCCCAGAGTCTGCCCATGGGTGCTCCTTGGGTGTAAGGTGGACCAGATCTTCTCCAACTTGTGTGTGCTTAACAGTCAACACCTTGAATCCCTCTTAGGATGCCAACTCTGACCCAGTAGATATAAGATAGAGCCCAAGATCTGCATGTCCAACAGACACCCAGATGCCCGTGGTGGCGGTGGTGGTGATGGTGATTATGGTAGCAATGGCGATGATGGTAATGATGATGATGGTGATGGTGGTGATGATGGTGACAACGCTGATGATGCTAATAGTGGTGACACTCATGCTGATAATGATGGTGGTGATGATGGTAGTGATGGTGATGATGGTATCGTTGGTAATGAATATAATGATGATGATGATGGTGGTGGTAATGATAGTGATGATGGTAATGCTGAGGATGATGGAGGTGATGGTGGCGGTGGTGATGCTGGTTCTCAGACCACCACTGTGTATCAAGCAAACAGAGTGTTTGGACAGAATGTAGATGGACAGTTTTCCTTCGTTTCATTTCCTTTTTTGAGTTTCTGTAGTTCTAGGATTTGGGGAGGAAGAAGATGAGAGGGTTAATGCATGTTTATGGTTTGGCTTCCAAAACTATAAGGACAGAATTAAAGTTAAAATAGAAGAAAATGGCCCAAAATGTTCATGCAAGTATGAACTTGCCCTGGGAAGGATCATGGGAGAGTTACTGTATTATAAACAGAGAAAAAATATAGCGGATTCTTTTGCAAACGAGCCTGCAGCCCTTCCTTTTCTTTTTTTGTGATTTTGTTCTTTTCAAAGGAAAAGAGTTGGGGCCTGAGTTTTTTCTCTTACGTTTAATTTGGTCTCTCAGAAGAAATGTTGCTTTAGACCTAGGAGACTTGTATGTGAATAAAGAAAGACAAGTTAAGAAATTCTTGATTTTAAAAGGGAGCAAATGATACATCCTTAAGCACTAGGGACTAAACTTATGAATTTATTCATTTCCTTTAGTCTCCATCATTCAAGTTTCATTGCACACTACATCAAATATAGGATATGATGTAGACATATAATCAAGAATAATGATGAACCTTTTTATAACCACAGCTCAGTTTAAGAAATAAAACAAAAAATGCTAAATTTCCCAGCATTTGCCCTTAAATACATTCTACTTTCTCTCCATCTGAGCTTTAAAATACCTTTAAGTTGAGGTGTATCATTTTTATACAATAAAAATGGGTTTCAAACAGCCCTAATATGACTTGATGTGTTTTAAAACTTTATATAAACAGTATCCAACTGCATATTTCAATTTTCATTTTTATTAACCATAGTTTGTGAGACTTTTTCGTGTGTATGAAATTTCTCACATTTTCGCAGTGGTATAATATTCCATTTAACTTCTGGAATATTATCCACTTGGCATAAAGTTTGAATTTCATCTTTTTAAATGTTTTTATAGTGCATAGTATGTCCAGGTTAAATATTCTATATATTAATGAGACAAGTTTAGATGGTCCATGACATGATTAAAGAACTCGGGCTGGAATTAAAATGGGTATCACTTCTGTTCTGGCCAATTAATACACACGGGACAGTTACCGACTCACTGAGCTGCTTTATTGAAATTCTCATCTAGGAAAAGGGCGTTATGTCACCCATTTCCTCAAAATCCTCATAAAGAGCATATCATAATGGAAATTCTTATTTTAGTGTGCTAAAATTTATAGACTATGGATTCGTGTGGCTTTATTGCTAGAATTAAATCTTTGAGAACAGAGATGGCTCCGTTTACACAGTGGATGCATTCTGTGGATGGTGGGACATGGGTACGTTTTTAAAGGTGAAATACTTTTTATCCACACACCTACTGATGGGCAATTAGCTGCTTCCAAATCTTGGCTGTTGTAAATAATGCTGGAGTAACCATAGGGCACATTCACACAATGGAGTTCCCCTCTGCTATAAAAAGGAATAACCTTTACCCTTTGCAATAGCATGGATGGACCTGGAGAGCATTAGGCTAAGTGTATAAAGCCAGTCAGAGAAAGATGACTATCATGATTTCACACATATGTGGAATCTCAGGAACAAACTGAACTGCCAAGCAAAACAGAGGCAGACTCGTAGATAGCAGGCTGACAGCTGTGATGGGGATGAGGAATTGAGCAAAAAGGAAAGAGAGAGAGAGAGAGAGAGGGAAGGAAGGGAAGGGAAGGGAAGGGAAGGGAAGGGAAGGGAAGGGAAGGGAAGGGAAGGGAAGGGAAGGGAAGGGAAGGGAAGGGAAGGGAAGGGAAAAGATAATTCATGGACCTGGACAACATTGTGGTGATTGTGGGGAACTATTGAGTTGGGTTGAGGTGGAAGAGGGCATAGAGGAGATAATTGGTGATGAAGAAATAAAATAGCCCAGTTGATGTGGCTCAGTGGTTGAGCATAGACCTGAGAACCGGGAAGCTCATGGTTCCATTCCCAGTCAGGGCACATGCCCGGGTTATGGGTTAGGTCCCCAGTAGGGGGTGTGCAGGAGGCAGCTGACCACTGATTCTCTCTTATCAGTGATGTTTCTATCTTTCTCTCCCTCTCCCTTCTTCTCTGAAATCAATAAAAAATATATTTAAAAAAAAAAAAAACAACCCTGAAGGTGACATCTACCTCGATGTGTCAGATATACTCACTGTGTAAAACTCCTGGTGTTCCTGTTGCAAACCCTCGTTTAACACCAGCTTCTTTCTCTTCCCCTTTTTCCCTCTGGCTTCCTGTTGGTAAATATGGCCCTGGGGCCCGTGCCTGTTCTGGTCCGACCCCCCGAGGTGACATTTGGGGATTTTTTACCACCGAGTACTCTCCAGCACACAGCACCGTGATGGCTTAGAAGAACAGTGTGCGCCTCGGGGACAGGTGTTTACCCAGCCAGATGGAAATGGATAGCAGAGCACTTACCCAATTAGTGGATTAAATGTGCCCAGTCGGTCCGGATAAATCACAGAAATGTGCCCTTCCCCGCTCCTAGCCAGTGTGATCGCCGGCCACGTGCGAGCCAATTACCTCAATGTTCTACCTCCCTCTGCCAGCCCAGGCCCAGCCTGATTTTCTGGGTGAGCAGGCCGCGTCCTTCTCACTTTTCAGGAAATCCCGGGGAATCTCTGACTTCCAGATGCCGTGCTGCCTGGGTTTCCATCTCCGCTGGCCTGTGGTTGCTGTTGAAGACCTCGGCATGTAGGGGTGGCAGTTAGGAATCAGTGCAACCATATGGTTTATAGGAGAGGTGGCGTTGGAGTGGACTTCATAAGGCTGATTTAATGTATATAGTCAGTATCCTCTTGGGCTCTATGTATATTCTAAGAGGGAAAAATCCTTGCCTTTTCTCCAGATGGCAGCTGAACGGGAGCGACATTGACCTGGGCGTGGAGTCCCGTTATGCCTTGGACCGAGGTGACCTGGTGGTCCTGAACCCCCGCCGGGATCGGGACGCGGGGAGTTACCAGTGTTTCGCCACGAACGCGCTGGGAACCATCGTCAGCCGAGAAGCGAAGCTGCAGTTTGCCTGTAAGTGCCGGGCCACAGCCCTGCAAGCCCAGCATCTGGCAGCACAGGCTGCATCGGTGCGGCCCCCTGGGGCTCAGAAGCCCCCAAGGCTTCCTCTAGTCCGTGGCAGCCTGCCTGGGGCTGGCCGCCTGCGTGTGTGTACAGAGAGGAAGACAGTTTTCACAGCCCTTACAGACCCTCGGGTGCTGGCACGGCTTGCGGAGAGCAGGGGCGTGGGCATCAGGATGGAGGACACGGCGCTCTTGAACAGCTTATGGGGCAGCTCCACCGGCTCCCTGTGTGCCTGGCGGTGTCCTGGGATAGACCCATGGTGGTTCCCTGGGGAACGGAAAGTTCTGGCTTGGTCCTCCTCTACCGGTTCTGTGTGACTCCCCACCGCTGGCCCCTGGGGGCCTGCTTCTTCATGGCTGCATCCCTTCTCCCGAGTCCGGACAGCGGAGTCTGCGGCAGAACCCTACGGGGTCCCCATGAGCGAGACTTCACCTGGGAGGTGGGCAGCGCCGGGCGGTGTTTAAAGATAAACCAGAGACCGGTGCATGGCGGGGACTGCACTCAGCCCTCAGTTCAGAGGCGGCGCAGTGTGTGTGTGTGTGTGTGTGTGTGTGTGTAAGAGTGTGTGAGTGTTTGTGTGTATATGTGTGTGTGTGTGTGAGAGTGTGTGAGTGTTTGTGTGTATATATGTGTGTGTGTTTGTGTGTGTATGTGTGTGTGAGTGTGTGTATGTGTGTGTGAGTGTGTATGTGTGTATATGTGTGTGTGCGCGTGTGTGTGCGTGTGTTTGTTGAATGTGTGTGTGTGTGTGTGAGTGTGTGTATGTGTGTGTGAGTGTGTATGTGTGTATATGTGTGTGTGCGTGTGTGTGTGCGTGTGTTTGTTGAATGTGTGTGTGTGTGTGTGTGTGTGTGTGTGTGAGAGAGAGAGAGAGAGAGAGAGAGAGAGAGAGAGAGAGAGTGTGTGTGTGATGGGGAGGGTTGGGTCCCACAGGGGACCGCTGTGTTCTCCTGCTCCGGGGAGCTCTCTAAAAACACCCCACAATCTCTCCTTCCACGCCAGCACCTCTTTAATTGAGCCCTGGCTGAATGCACATCCATTATGCCGCCAGGATTCTATTTTGCAAATGTTGGGAGATGTCTTTACCATCATGCCTGAAATCCTGTGCTCTTCACAGTCATGATCTCTTTCGTGAGATGATTTCTCCCTCTCTCCGCCCTCCTCCTTATTTCTGTTCAACTTGCAGACACGTTCTCACAAATAAAAAAAAAAAATAGCTCTGGGAGGCCCATCCTTCTCCGCCCGTCTCCCCTGCTTCTGCCTTTGATGGAGGGGCCTCTTGTTTGTCGGTTTCAGGATGATTGGATTTGCAAGAGATGTGCTAAAGCATCCCTCGTTTTATTTTTTTCTTCTGTGAATTGCCTGCCTGAGTCCTTCGGGGATACAGCAAAGAATATGCTACTTCAGGGCAGAGTACGTCTTTTTTAAAAAAAAATTCTGCCTGGTGTAAATTATACTGCAGGACATTAATTTCAAAATCCCAAAGGACAGTGTTTTATGAAATAGAATATATCATCACTTAAGTTATTTGATTTGTTAAAGTAACCGATGGAAATTTCCCGCAGCGAACACTAGTCCCTGCTCTTGCTCACAGCTGCAAACTGTGCCGGCTGTCCCTCGCCCACTCCGCTCCTGGCTCTCTGCTCAGCAGCTCTGACAAAGAACAACCGAAAGCCAACAGATAGGCCGTTTCCCTCACACTTCTTTAGTCCTAGTATCTTGAATATGAATCCTTTTAAAAATATTTTTATTGATCTTTAGAGAGGGGAAGGGCGAAAGCCAGGGAAACATCGACGTGAGAGTGAAAAATATTGATTGGCTGGCTGCCTTCTGCACGTCCCCTACTGGGGCTTGAACCTGCAACCCAGGCACGTGGCCTGATGAGGAATGGAACTGTGATCTCCTGGTTCATAGGTTGATGTTCAACCAACTGGGCCATACCGGCCAGGGCTTGATTATGACTTCTTGGTGATCAACTTCAAAAGTTTTAGAATAACTACCTTTCAGATGATTAAATTTATTTTAATTGCATTGGCTGAAAAGATTTCCTAAATTTTCTGAAGATTTTTGATCTTCAGCTCCAGGTTATCCAGCACACAGCTTGTTCATGGAAAGCCCCTCTCCACTCGTGACCTTGAACTGACTTTTCCTCCATGACAGCAACTCCTTGGGGACCTCAGGCTCCCCCTGGGCTAGGCGTTGATGATTGGAAGTGGAATTAGCACATTCTGGGTTTTCCCCTCAAAATAAGCCTTTCTCTCAGTGCACCCAGAGCTTCATTATCGTCTGTCTTTCTTGACTGTGAATGTGGTTGTTGCTAATATTGTCATCACGCTTTTCCTAACACCATGTTCTGATGGTGTCAGCAATCAACGTCCTCTTATCTGAAGAGGCCCCAACATCCTCTGCAGAAATTCCCAGTAAGATCAACAAAGTGGCTCCTCTTCTCCCTCTCTCCACGCTCCCTGCTGCCCGTCTTTGCTCTGTGACTGCCCTGCTCTCCCCATGCTGCCTCATTTCCTCCTTCTCCCCTCCCTCTTCCCCTCTCCCTCCCTCTCCCTCTTCCTGGACATTCTGTTTTGGGTAATTTTCCTGTGACATGAGAGCAGTATTCTTCTTTTGATTGTTTCCAGCTAAACCATTCTTAGCTCCAAGGCCGGGCTAAAGCAGCTGGTGGAGTGGGGCAGCCTCAGACAGACAGAGTCTCCCAACTTCCTGCCCATGAGCCCTGGGCATGCAGGACACGTGAGCTCCTGGCCTCATCAATGGCTCTGGCATGTCACTATTGCTGATTAGAAATGGAGAAGGTAGACTGGTTGAGCATTGGCCTATGAACAGGAGGTCACAGGTTGATTCCGGATCAGGGCACATGCCCAGGTGGCAGGCTTGATCCCTAGTGGGGAGCATGCAGGAGGCAGCCAATCAATGATTCTCTCTCATTGATGTTTTTTTTCTCTCCCTCTCCCTCTCGTTCTCCCTCTCCCTTCCTATCTGAAATCAATAAAAATATATAGGAAAAAAAAGAAAAAGAGAAGGAATACATTACCCCAGCAGAGTGCTGTGTCCCTGGAGCTCACCAAATTAGCAGCTGCTCCCTCCCTCTCTCAGTCTCTGCAGAATAATATTTTTAGATGGATTCAGCGCAGGGGACCATCCCTCCCGCTGTGTCTGGGACACTTTGCTTACACCTGCTTTCCCTGCTAGTTGCTGCCTGTTTTCTTGTTCACATTGTCTCGATGAGGAGGCTAAGTTATATGGCTGACCTGGAGTGAGCTCCTCAGCCCGCACAGAGGAGCAGCGGGGAGGCAGGAAGCACACCCCTCCCGCGCCCGGCAGGAGGAGGCACTACCTGCACTCACAGAGCCTCTGTGGGAGCCTGAGGGACCCCCGTTTGGATGTTGGTATTGGGTACGGCTGCACTCGTCCTGCAGAATTAAAAACACACGCACTTTCTGGACACTGAGAATTATTCATGCAACCAGGTGTCTCTTTTCTTAAAAATGGTGAGAAAGCCAGAATGATGTTTATGACCCAAATATAAGTCAGTGGGACTCTCTCTCGGCGCCCGACTCTATTCTAGAGGATTCTCCCGCTTCAACTTCGTTAATTGCTTTGATTCTCTTCATCAGTTTGTTGTGTATTCTCTATGCTTCCATGCAGAGGGTGTTCTTAAACAGGTCACGGCCCTAGAAACGGAATGAGGTTGTGTTCTGTCAGACTTCCATTATAAACGCTACACAAAGGATGTCTCATGGTGAATAGTGAGTGTGCGTGTGGCACACTGCAAGGAGCCAAGGTAAACATGTGTTCTTTGGTTTCATGATTGTAAAGGGGTAGGAGGGATGGTCCAGAACAGCCCCAGCCCCTAGACCACAGCAATGCTAACAACGCAAGTGGGCTTGGTGGGGGCAGTTTCTGGGAGGGTACACGTGTGGCCCGGTTGAGGTAAACAATAGTGTCCTGTTATTCCTGTCTCACCGGCGAGAACACAGAGTCCCAGAGAGCAGAGGTGGCCAGCCTTAGGCGTGGACTTGGTGGAAAGTTTGACTGTAGACCTGGACCAGTTACCTGCACCTCAGAGGTGTCACCATCGGTGGGCGCCTGACCCTCATGTCGGTCCAAGTGGGCAGTGATTTTCCGAAAACCGTTACCCCTTCGGAGTACGTTAAGCTTTTGCAAGCAATCAAAGCACTTTTTAACAGCTTTCACCCTCCCACCCAATGGTGATTTCATTGTGTTTCCCCACCAAAGTCAGTCATACAGCCTCCTTTATCACAGGTGTCTGTAAAACATCAGGTCTTAATAATAAAATTATCCACCAGCTACTGTAGCATTTCTCTTATCTCCAAACTTTATTACATATGCTATTCTAATGTGAAAATGAATATTAACGTAAGCTCCACCATTCACAGAGTGTAGCCTATCTGTGGAAGTACTTTTTTAAGCTTGGTGTTTGTTGGTCATCAGAATAATTTCATTCGCTTTATAGATAAAGTGCATGGAGATGGATTTCCTTTTCCTCTGGTGCGACCTCTTAACGACTTGCTATTTCAGCATAAACACAACATGATAAACCCTAAGCCAGAGGAAATGAAGACAGCTCAGGGGGTGCTGCCCAGGGCTCCAGGTGAAGCCACAGGCACAGCAAAGTTGCCCCTCTCGCTATGAAATGATTACATGACAACTTATGATTATAACCCATTTTGTAAAGCTGAAGGCCTGGTGCACAGAATTTGTGCCCGGGTAGGATCCCCAGGCCTGGCTAGTGATGAGGGCCCATTGGGGCCTTCCAGCTGCCGGCCAGGATCTCCCTTCATTCCACACCGCACCCTGGTGGTCAGCACACATTCTATGAGTGATTAAACTCCTGGTCTCCTGGTCGAACTCCCAAGGGGACACTTTGCAGACTAACCTTTCACATCTATAGATTAAGAGATGCACTTCTCTGT